ATTTTATCTAGTGCTAAATATTCTGTTTTTATTTGTATATTAATCAGATTAATATATTTCTACATAAAATAAAATGACTGTTTTAATATTCCAGCATTTTTGATGCAAAAACAGCATCTTGCTATATTTGTGAGGACTTCACACACACACACTGAGGCTCATTGCCTCAGTCTGCACCCGTTTTTTTCACAGCGTCTGTCTGCTGCACGGCGGCAGCTCTAACGTAACAGCGAGAAAGGACCGAGAGCTTTTTATTTTAATCCAGCAGGGAGAACAATACAGGTGTTCTTCTATGCCTCCTGTGAGCAGCTCCAGCATTTTTTAAAACAAAAACAACTCAGACGCGCTAATTACAGTGCGGTTTCAAACCGAAAGTAAAAACATGGCGCTCACTGCGCTCCCGTTTGAAGTGAAACTTAACACACAGCTGTTCTCTCTACCACACATAGTCCGACACAGCGGACAGAAACAGCTAAATTAGACAGTTAAAACACATTAAAAGCTCATAACTCACCCTTATTGTTGTTGGCACTCTGTGGAGATTGTCTGCCGAGGCTGTCACTGTTAACAGTGAACACCAGAGGGCGCAATTAACAGCTTTCTTTGAGGCACCGAAATTAGAGTTGTGTTTCGGTCTGTGTACTACCGTTGATCTTCGCCCCGGTGCCATACTGGAACCGAGTTTCGGTACCAACCCTATTTACAATATTCCTTTCTTTAGCTTAAACATGTCATATCTATTAGAAAATGTTGTTTTATTCATTGACATCTTATCTTATATAAATGGTTACATCCAAGTGAAAGAGACTGAACCAGCTCTGTCTCTGTTTACCATCAGTGCTCTTGAGACAGAGAAGTCCCTGGTGTTGGCAGAGAAGGGCAGTGGAGACGACGACGATGTGGAGCTGATCAGAGCAGCTGCAGGTTTCCGTCTCGTTGCTACCATGAACCCTGGAGGAGACTTTGGCAAGAAGGAGGTTTGTACCACTGAGTGCTCCACCTCATCCACTGGTAGAACAGACTCTGTCAACATTACATCACATGTTTGAGTTGCAAACTGCGACTCGGTTATTGTCTGGCCTGGTGGCTCCAAGTGTTCTGACTCCAACAAGCCGTCTCACCTCGACCTGTTCAGAAATCACACAATGACGACCAGATTGTGTTTCTGTTTGAAACACTGTTTGCTTCTGGTGTTCAGCAGTAGAGCAGGGGTAGTCAACAGCCCTGCATGATTTACTTGTTTCTCTGCTCCAGCACACCTGGTTTGAATGAATGGATGATTTTCAGGCTTCTGCAGAACTTGGAAGTGGTCATTCACTGACTGAATCAGGTGTGTTAGAGAAGGGAGAAAAGTAAAACACACAAGGCTGCGGACCTTCACAACCATTTGAGAGACTGCTGAAGTCCTACAGAAAACCAAGGGTTTTAGTTTGTGCTCATAATGTAAAAACTTAGAGCTAAAGGAGGCTGTAGTTTTCCAGTGGCTGTTGATGAAGGCTGTCACTCACTGTTGGATTGTTCTGTGTTGGACAGCTCTCTCCTGCTCTCAGGAACCGGTTCACAGAGATCTGGTGCCCTCAGTCCAACGGACGCAGTGACCTGGTTCAGATCATCCAGCATAACCTTCACTCTGGCCTCTCACTTCATGGTAAACTAAGTTTTGTTCCAACAGGATAAATGTGGAGCCACTGTTATATTTTTTTTCTTAAACTCTTAAGAGCGTCACCTATTTCATACATTCAGAAATCCAAAGTCTCAATTTGTTTAGGGCATAACAGCTATTATTTTAGGTATTTTAAATTTTTATACTTTTTGATTTATTTAGTTTTTTRCCTAATTTTTTAAATAGAAATGCAATTAAAGAAGCAAAACCTTTTAGAAATGTTTGAAAAATGTTGTGCTTCTCTTTATCATCCTGCAGGGGGCGACGTTGCAGAGCTGATGTTAGACTTCATTGAGTGGCTGGTCCAGCAGGACTTCGGTCGTCGCTGCATCCTGAGCGTCAGAGACATCCTGTCGTGGATTAACTTCCTCAATTCTGTGTGCGAGCCAGGCAGGAGCAGCTTCAGGGCTGAAGGGGCTCTGGAAGAAGCAGCAAAGTGGGACCTCAGGCTGGACACTGTTACAGCGTTTGTCCACGCTGCATGTTTGGTGTACATCGATGGCATCGGCTCAGGTGAGCTAACATCCTCTGTAATTACAGCAGGACTTTTTCAGTCCAAGCAGTCTGTAACACCTGTTTTTTCTTACAGGAACCACAGCGTGTTGCGCAGACGACGCTCTTTCAGCTCGTCGCATGTGCCTGGGCTTCCTGCAGCAGAGGCTGTGTAAGATGACCAGGCTGGACCAGGAGCTGATGGAGACTCTTAGAGTCTATGATAGCAGTCTGCCACGGGAACCCCAGTGGGGGGAAGACTTCTTTGGCATCAACCCATTCTACATTCCCTTAGGTACAAACTGAGTTTTATAACTCGAATCCAAAATGTAGGCCAAGCTGGAGTGATGAGGAAATGGCAAAAGTGATGTGACAAGAGGAAATAAAATTCTTACTGTTCAGATTAAACACTAAAATAACTCATTATTTGTCAGCACTGATTGTTGTATTTCCTTAAAAACCCACATATTTTAGAAAATATAATCCTTTATACCTTAAACCTTTAAATACTCATTAAATATAAAGTTACACAACTGAAAGTCAAGGTGCACCATCACAGTGCACTCAATTCAATTCAATTCAGTTTAATTATATAGAGCCAAGTCACTCAGAAATGGGTGGACCTTCTGTCAGGAGGAGGTGTGACAGACTCRGGCACAACAGCATCAGAAGACAAGTTTCTGAGAGTTCACAGCGTGTGTGATAGGCAGCTCACAGAACGTGTTCAGAGTGGCTCTCAGCTACTACCACATCCATTTTTACCTCTGCAGCTGTAAAAATGACAAAGGTTTGCCAAGATTTTAGTTGTTTGTATTTTGAATCGGATCGACTTCAAATYTTGAAGTAGTTGATGTACATCTAATGATTACTGTATTTATTCTAGTATAATACGAAAAACTAAACCCATAAAATCATCCATAAAATGGGGGSTAGTACTATWCTCGGATCAATATTTTTACTTATGTATTTTGACTGAAATATCAGCCCCATTCACAAAATGCCTGAGTCCGGAAATGAGACCACGTCATAAAAAAGCAGTTGAAGCGAGCTTACCTCTAACACTTCTTTGTGCCTCTGAACGAGGTAGTAACATATCCAAGCAGGCAACATGATGTGAAAAAAAGAAAGAAAAGTCAGTCCTTCAGCTTAGTAATGATAACAAACTAATGGCATTAATGGGCGACCGGGCTGCTCCTGGAACAACAACAAACACATGTCCATCTGTAATGGCTGCCTTCTACCGGTGTTCTGTAAAAGTTGGTCTACGTGAAAAAAGTTTCCCCACCAGAGGGGGCGCTGGTGAGACACAGGGAATGAGATTGTTGTGTGGGATTCTACGGAAGAGCATTGCATTCACCTAATAAAAAAAATTTGACTCCTGATCTCATAATTAGATAAGATGTCAAAATTACGAGAAAAGATCTCATAATTATGAGATCTTTTCTCATAATTATGAGATCCTGATCTCGTAATTATGAGATAAGATGTCATAAT